CTCGGCCTCCATCTGCCGATGTCTACTGAGAGCCTTGAGCTGCCCAGGCACCGCGAGAGGTGCTGGAGCCGGGTGGTAAGAAGAGAACGTGTGTAATGCCCTTGGGGGGGCTCATCTCTCACACCCAGAAACCATCAGATAGACAGACTGGTCGCCACTGTTATATAACCAGAGTCTGTCCAAATTCAGCTGCAGCTGACAGGCAGACCAGCTGTGTCACTGGGGTACAAATGAGAATCCATAAAACTGTGTCCCACGGCTCCTAAGAACTGGCTCATGAACAGAGCTATTCCTAGTGTTCTCCTGACTAAATCCAATCTCAAACCAGCAAAGGTTCTGAGAGAAGGCCCTGTCCTAAAACAAGCTGTGGTCCCTCGGATGTGGCCTCTAAACACACCGTTGGAATTCAATTTCCTCCCTTCTCCTTGAGGGGTCTCTTCACACACACACACACACACACACACACACACACACAACATACACATACACAACAACAGCAACAACAACGATGCCAAAAAATTCAATGGAGAAAGAATGGTGGTTTCAACAAATGGCACTGGGGCACCTGGGTAGTCTCGTGCTAGGCACAGGAATTTGGACCCTTACCTCGCCTACACACAAAAAAAATTCACTCCAAAGTAGACCACAGACCTAAATGTAAGCGCTAAAGTTATCAAAGTTTTGGCAGAAATTATATGAGAAAGCTTTTGTGAACTTGGACTGGACAAAATATTTCTTAGATTCAACACCAAAAAAATAAATAATCCGTAAGAGAAAAACAGAAAAGTTGGGCCTCTCCAAAATGAAAAATGTAGGCTGTTCAACAGATTCCTATTTAGAGGTGGGCATTCAGGAGGCTGAGGCAGGAGGGATGCAAGTCCAAGCTCAGCCTGGACTACACAGAGAACTCAAGGCCACAGTGACAGCCCCATCTCAAAACACAAAGCCAAAAATTAAAAAAAAAAAAAAAAAAAAATAGACCCTAGTAGGGCATGGAAGACAAACTGAAGTCTGGAACAAAATATTTGAAATCATATGTGAAAAAGGACTTGCATTTAGAATAGAAATAGAAATCTCAAAATTCCATCATACTTTTTTTAATTTTAAAATGAGCAAAAGATGTGAACAGTTATTCACCAAAGACCTGCGGATGTCCAATGGCACATGCACAGATGCCTGATGGCTGGACATCTAACTGAATGGCTGAAAGAAGCAAGACAGACTCTACCAAGTGTTGACGAAGGTGGGCGCTCATGGGGCGCTCACACCTTGATGGTGGGTAAAATAGTACACCTACATTAGGGACAGTTTGGGCAGTTTCTTAAGAGGTTGAACAAGACTTAACCACACGCTATGACTTTTCTATTCCTAGAGAAATGAATGCGCCAAGGCTTGAGCGCATGTGCCTAGCAGCATTTCTTCTCATAGCTGAAGACTGAGGAACAAAATATCCATCAATGAAATGATGAACTGTGGTATATTCATACAACAGAATAGTACTCAGCAATAAAAAGTGATGCACAATTGAGACACACAATAACAAGGAGGAATCTCAAATTGAATGCTGGGTGGGTGAAGCTAGGCCAAATAAGGCAGAGATAAATATAGTGAGTCTATTTTATTATTTCATTTACATAAACTCTAGAAAATAAAAAGTAATCATTTAATTTTTAGGACCAAGAACAGACAAGTGGTTGCCTCGGGTTGAGCGGAGAGGAAGAAGGGGAAAGGCATGAGGTTAAGGTGATGCTCACTGTCTTGATCTTGGTGAGGATTTCACACCTCTGAAGCCATCAGAATGTACCCAACTATCCACTTACATGTGTGCCACTGGTGGCTGGGGAGTGACTGCGATCTCAACGCTCTGCCTCCACCCCTGGGCCCAGGCACACCTGTACCTGGATCTCACACCCAGGCAACCTGCCTAGTTCCTGAGCTCAGATGAGTTTCTTCAGGGAGCCCAGGGGGAACCAGAGCTTGGGTCTGATGCATTCTGGACACCACCAGAGCTACCTGGCAAGAGATCCGGCTGTGCAGCAAGCACTGGGACACCCACAAGGGTCCTTTCCTCCTCCTGAATGCATGCTGTTCTTGATGCCCCTCACGCCGACACACTCATCCCACCATTCTCGCCACTCTTTGGAGCAGTTCTGGAAGTCTTCCTTCATGAGGGTCTTTGAAAGGTATGATCAAAAAATAAAGTGAATGCTACTGCCAAGCACCAGTCAGCAGAAAGGCAGGCCTGTAAAAACATGCATCCTCATCCACCACATCCATGGCATCTGGCACTCTGTGACTTGTGGCTCTTCTCCAAAGTCCAAATGACCATGAAAGGTAAATGCTGAGAATCGATTCCAGACATCGAGAGTGTCACAGGAATGAAACTAAAGACATTAGGGACAGAGGACTTCCAGAGCTGCTGCAGAAAGGGGCAGGAGCCATGGGACAAGTGCACTCAACACGAGGGAGGGGCTTCGAGGGGGTGCGCAGCACCACGTCCTTCACCACAGTCAGTGTTTTAAACATTCGCTGTGCTTTATGATCCTACCCCGTATGTCTGCAAAAGCCACACAGCACTAGGGGCTCTACCTGTCCCGGCCTGAAACTCCAGGCCCAGGCCCACTTTTCTAATAAAGCCCCCAACCTTGGACTGGAGCTGGCCTGGCTGGAGCCCAGCAGGTGGGAAGCTCCTGAGAGCAGGGAGAGATGGGAGGGGGCGGTGGGCGGGGCTATTGAGGCAGGTGTGCGCAGGCTCCTGCGGGCTCATGCTGAGATTTCCCTGAATTATGCAGAAACAATTCCACAATGTTAGTTCTTAATTAGAGATGCCAAAGACAGAAATGAACAAATGATCTAATTAATACTGGCATCATAATGAAGCTGACAGAACAAAGGTTGAGAAGACAGCAGTATCTATCCCTGGCCACCGGGAAGTATGCAACACATCTCCAATTAGAATGGGACAATAAAAGTCCAAATTACCAGCATGAAGAAGGACAAAATTAGGCAATAACATCCAAACTGCCTGACAACTTATTCTTAGCCACACGGCCCCTGGCAGTGGGTGAAGGAAACTCATGCCCAGAAATAGCCTAACAGCGGGCTGTTGCAGGAATTTTTGTGAAATATTGTTAAAGGAGAAGAAATAGCTTTAAATCTCTTGAATTCTTCTGTTCTTCCGAGCAGTATTAGCATTTGCTGGAGGCTTGCTTGTGGGTTTCTGTCACTTGCAACAGCATGACAGCAACACTTGACGGTGTAAGAATTCAGCTTGGTTCTGCCAGAACCAGCTACTTGCTGATGATGTCAGCCCAGCCCGAGGGTCCCCATCACAGCCACCTGCCCTCCACCCCACCCTGCAGGAGGAGGGCAACTGCACAGCCTCTTGTGAGTGCTGCATACTAACCAGGGAACGCAGAACCCAGAAGGCTTTCTCCCAGGAGTTACCCAGCGACCCGCTTCCCGGACACTGCTCAGCAAGCAGGGGAAATTCGTGCTTTTTCCTGACATCCACTGCCTCACCCCTCCATGCCATCATTGGAAACAAGATCAAGGTCCCTCCCTGGGTTAGCTTTAAAATGCTAATACCCTTTTACCAGCCCTTTAACACTCTCATTATCATGAGTCCAGCTGATGCAGGAAGTCTGAAACTTAATTATTATGACCCTAAGCAGAGGCCATCCTCTTCAAGATCTATGGCATTTACATGTACTCCTCAGCCAGCGTGAAAGCGTCTGTCCCCCGCTGATGATGCGTGGCTGGCTTCTGTGGTTCTGGAAGCCACAATCCACTGACACACAATACCACTGCAAATGCATAAAAACATGAAGCTGTCACTTCGAAAGACAGATACCCGAAGGTTAAAACAAAAATAAAAAAGGAAAACGCAATTTCCCCCCCCCCCCCCAAAAACCTTAAAGACACTTAGCGAAGAAAACTAAAAAGCACCCTGGGGAGACAGCACAGGGAGGCCCCTCCCCAAGGAGTCCAGGTCCATCCTAATCCTTAGGACCTGTGTGTAGGTGGCCTTCAGGGGCACAGGGGCTGACCTGCTCTGTAAGTGACCTTGTTTAGCAAAAGGGCCTGTGCAGGTGTGATTTTTAAGGATCTCAAGAAAAGCTCATGCAGAATGAAGGTGGCCCCTAAATCCAGGGACGAGTGTCCTTGAGAGACAGGAAGGTCATGCAGAGACGTAGGGAGGCTAGGACAGCAGAGGAGGAGCTGAGAGTAACGCAGCCCTGAGCCAAAGGTTGCTGAGAGCCACCAGGAGCTGGAGGGGCAGGGCAGGGTCCTTCCCTGGAGTCTCAGGGGACATGGGGCCCTCGCGAAGCCTCTATTTCAGACCTGTGGCCCCTGGGACCAAGAAAGAATACATTTCTATTGCTTTAAGTTAGTTACCTTCCACGGTGGTGACTTGGTACAGTCGCTCTAGAAAACTAACAGATGTAACAAAGGAATGTCGCCAATGCCACCGAGGCTCCCGAGGTGGATTGGCTGTGTGGGCCCGAGCCAGTGAAACGGCCTTTATAGCCGGCCGTGGCAGGGCCCGGGCAGAGAACACGCGAGATGATGGGACGGAGCTCAGAGGAGTGGAGCAATGAGGGTGCCACCCTGCAGGCTCAGAAGGTGAAGGGCGGGGAGGGGACCCGGTGCACTGGCAGAAGCTGGAAAAGGCGAAGGACAGGGCACACCTGGGGCCCCAGAGAGGGTCACAGCCCTGTCTGCCTCTTAGATTTCTGACCCCCAGATCTGTAACCAATGTTTGTTTTAAGCTGCTGAGTTTGCAGCAATTTGTTGTGGCAGCCACACCGAGACTACAGCCTTAGGAAATGGCCTGAGGGTGAGCACCCCAGACCCAGCCTACAGCCCCGCCCTTCTGCAGCTGTTCCCCTGCACACGCCTGAGGCGGCAGGAGGAGCTGCCTTAAAGGGTCATCACCGCTCAGGCCCCTTGTCCGGCCTGTAACAGACGTTCAGCCAACGTTACCGCTGAACACTCACCCTCTGTGGCGACCTCCGGGGCCAGCGCTCTCGCGCATCCAACCTGTGCGGCTCCCACGGCGCCCTGCACGCCGCTCCCCACGGAAGGAGATGCATTCGTGTTTGAGGAATAAACTATCCCAGAACAGAAGGCGGCGCGGCCCGCTCAGGCTCACACCTCCACCTCCACCCGACGCAGGGGCCCCGCGCGGACCTTCCGCCTCTCCCCGGAGAGTCTCGGCGCCGAGACCCCAGGGGAGAGGTTCCAAGGACGCGGAGGCAGCGCCTCACGCACGGCACCTTCTCCCATCTCTGGGAATCTCTAGCATTCATTTGTTCACCTATTTGTGTATTCCCCAAATATTTCCTGTGCTCCGGACACTGCGTAGGCCTGCGAGCAGGGGAGTTAGCAAGCACACAGTCGTAGACACTGTCCACCTGAACAGCCAAGACAGGGTGAGGCTCACGGGTAAGAGCACGCGTGCAGACAGCGGCTATACATATGCCGAGAAAGCACCACCAACGTGTCACAGGTCAAGTACTGCGGAACTTCCTTTAGACACACACTTTCACTTACATCCCCCGAGCTTCCACCTCGGATTTGTTATCACACAGATTCAACAAGTCGCAATTCAATTCTATGCATTTAGAACAACTGGATCACCATCTGACAAGACTTCTACAAGACATAAGGGTGAAGGGCGCGAAGAGGCAGCCCCAAGCTGAGCTTTGCAAGACTTCTCCTAATACTGCCTTGAAAACTAAAACCTTGCTCTTTTCCGTTCCAGGAAATTTGAAAGGAAAGCATTTAATCAACTGTATTTTGAACACCCAAAAGCCCAGGGTCTTTTTAGGATTATCTTGATTACTTTTCGTGCTGTCTTACACAGTGGCTCTGGAAGCAGCCTCTGGAAGGCCCCTTTCCACTGCGCTCAGCGCTCCACCAAGGGCGCCCCCCAGGTCGCTGGAGCCAGGCTGGGTGCCACACTGCCCCAGCCACTTCACCCTCGCCACTCTGAGGTCTTTGCCTTCCTTCCCAGTGAACTGAAAAACGACGGCTTTAAACTTCCACTTTCAGAATATAAAAAGCACAAGTCTCCCGAATCCTCCACACAATGGCCCTTGAGAGACATAAAAAGCGCCGCTGTGTCGCGGTCAGCGGGGCCCTGCGCCTCCTGTCCCCGCTGGCCGACAGCCTCTGCGCCCCCGCCTCCCTCCCTCCTTGCACCAGTGATCTGATTTCAGCATCTCTCAGCCCTGGAGAGTCTTTGGCAGAACACAATCCACTTCCCAGTGGAGTTGGTTTTAGAGTTTAGGAAGATAGAGAATTCTCCATCACATGACAGAGTGAGGCACATTGCTGGCTGCTTTCATACATATATCGGAGTACGAGAAATACCTCACCTTCCCCCGGAATCTAAGGAGGGCAGCGGCACAACCCGGCAGGAAATGACAAACTGCCCCCCCCAAAGCTCTGCCCTCCCCCCACCACCTGTGTGGGAGACAAGAGCCAGAGGAAGGCTGAGTGCAAGGCTCAGGCCTGACCTGAGGGAGCCCTCCAGGCAACTCCAGGGAGAACCCAGGGAGGCGGATGCCCCTTGCCACTTGGGTCTTGTGATGTTTTTCCTCAGAAGATGGAAATCCAGATTTCTATGTGAATTTACCAATTTTTCGCATCACGTAACAAACACCAAAAGAAAACAAAAGTGCCACTGTTGCTTGTGTGTGTGTGTGTGTGCACGCGCATGCACACACACACACACACTTAAGTACTTGGAATTTTAAAACATTTTAATTTAATAATAATTGTTAGCTGGGCATGGTGATGCATGCCTGTAATCCCAGTACTGGGGAGGCTGAGGCAGGAGGATTGTTGTGAGTTTGAGACCAGCCTGGGCTACAAAGACCAGCCTGAACTGCATAGTCAGATTCTGTCTCCAAAAGACAAATAATAATAATAATTATCAGCCTAAACCTTGGTGTGTAACCCTTTGGATCCTGCCAGATTAAGGCAAGATCCCAGCCTTTTCAGTCACCGATGTCCTCAGATTCTGCCCTCCAAAAGCCACAGCATCCCAGGGCCGAGAAGCTGCCGTGTCCCACATGACCACAGCTCACAACTTCCTAAGCTAACCCTTCTCATTTATCTGAGCCACACATCCACTCGTAGAACAGCCAACCCAGGAGGATCTTCAGTGACCCTAAATCTGCTCCCTGGGGACCTCCCAGTGCCATCAGTCCTGTGAGAGAGCGGCTGAGTGACAGCCCCCACAAGGAGCAGTGTCTCTGGAGGGTACTCATGACTGGACCAATGTTGGGGGGATGTCCCCTGGGGGACCCTGAGGCCCACACGCAGCTCTGTGGACAACTCCATTCATCCTGCGGTCACAGCAAATGTTATGAGATGTCGATGTGAAGCTCTGGCAAAGGCAGCCCTGGCAACGCATTAGGCCCTCCCCGTGGACGCGGGCACGGGCTGGCCGCACAGCCCGTCTCACTACAGCCCTGAGCGCTGGGACCTGTGGACCTGGGACCTGTGTCCCAGCCCTGAGCGCTGGGACATGTTCTGCTCCCCTGGAGAGTGGACAGTCATTTGCTAAAAAACATGCTCTCTTCGTGGACTCCCAGAGGGGACAGCTGACCAGGGCACTATCACCTTCCAAAATACGGTGCACACCACCATGGCCAGAGGATGTTCTGAGTATGTTTCTGGGCAATGAGCCAAAATGGGGTCCGTGAATCTGGACCTTCCCTTCTAGGGCAGAATTCTCCAGGGGAGGAGACCAAGGACCCCACCCCATGGAGCTCCACACCGGCTCTCCAGAGGGAAGTAAGAGCACAGGAACTCTGCGGTATGTTCACAGCAGCACAAGTGTACGGACACCAGCCCATCTGCCCCCGGCAGTGTCTCCTTCCAGCAGGAGGAGGGAATGATAAACATTGGGCCGCACGTGTTCAGGATTTTTCATCTGTACAAATGATTTCTGCTGTGGTTTAGCTCTAAAATGCGCCCCCTCCAGGTCTCATTCTTGTGGAAAGCAATCGGCCCTGGGCTGCCATGACCCTCAGTGCATTTGTCCATTGCTAAGCTTTGTAGCTCCATCAGCAGGCAGGAGGTGGGGCCTGGCAGGAGGTGGGCAAGAGCCCCGATCTGGAAGGGTACGACCTTGTCCTCAGCTCCTCCTTTCCCTCACTGCTTCCTGGCTGGGATACAGCAAGCAATTTTCCTGCACCAGGCCCTTCCTGCCTTGGAACTAGCCAACTATGCACTGAACCCACGGACACCCTAAGCCAGGACAAGCCTCTGCTTCTTTCAATTCCAAGTACAGGGTATTTTTGTCCCAGTGGTGCTACAGTGACTAATAAATCTCCCATGGCTTGGCTCTGATACTTCTAGATTACAAACACTGGGGACTTGTGCTTGTTTAATCTGGCCTACTCACGAAACACAAGGCTCTGCAGGAGCCCCGGCACAGGGCTGTGTCCCTGGATTTCAAGCTGGTCCTCCTTCCTCCCCAGAGGGAATTAATATTCCATGCCCAGGAAACGAACTCTGCCAAACCAGAGTTTCCTAGGCTCATTTTTTAAAATTATACTTCCATAATGTATCATTTCTTCTTTATTAATTGTCTCTGGAGAGAGATATGTACCTCCCACGTACCTCACACTGAAAAGAAATCTATTTCTCCCAGGCCTTTGCTACCACAGGGACACTGCTAAGTTCTTGAGTTGGGGACAAAGTTTTGTTTAACCTCTGGGCCTGGGTTTCAGGAAGAACACAGTTCAGCAGCATCGTACTTTCCTGTGACACATGTGAAGAGCTTAAGGAGCGGGGAGGACTCTGAAACTTTGCCTTTTCTCTCCTAAGTGGCTGCTACAAAAGCAGATGGCAAGAAAGGCACTAAGAAAAAAATAGGCAGAAACATTAAATTTGGTAATTTTGGCAGAACCCCCAAAGAGCCAGAGAAGCTGAAAACATAGGATGGTCCTTGGCAGAATCTGGAATCAGAAGTGTAGCTAATGAGCGTGTCAAATCCAGCAGAAATGTCCCAAGGCCAGGGTTCCCTCCCCTTAAGCTGTATCCTGGTTATATCCAAATTAAGCTAGGTGATGCCTGGTGAGCTTTTTTCTCATTTTAACAGTAATTTATTTTAATGACTATTAACAAAAATTTAGTATATCAAGCTCATGGATTTTATTATCTGATAATGAGGGTAAATTACTTTCTAAGCTTGAAAGAGGGAGACATTTATTAGCACCACACGCTCCCCAGCTGAGCCAACCAGCTGCCCAAAGAAGCAAGGCGTTGGAAGAAAATCTATTTAGCTAATGGCATTGCTGGGCATAGGCAGCTGGCACGGACTGGGGTGGCACGTGGGTTGTCAGCATTAGGAAAATACCATCCGGGCAGGAAGGAGATAGGAATAGTACAATGTGAAAGTTATAGCTCCAGGAGGACCGAGGTCACCCACGTCCGTGGCCCCTAGGTCTGCGAGAGCCTCTCCCCACCCCCCAGCCACCCCACCCCAAATCCTTAGACACCGCAAGGCCACAGATCAGCTTAGTTGGTGTGGTAAAGACAGAAACCGGACCTTCAGAGAAACAGACAGAAAGGTTTCAAAAAATGGTTAAGCCTTTCTCCTCCAAAATGGACCACCCTTTTGATAGGTTCTGGCCTGAGTCCAAACGGCTAAATTACTACGGACCTGGTTCAACATGGCTGAAGCCCAAAACAGCAGCTCATCTTCCCAGGGACCACCGCCTCCTGCTTCCCCATCCCAGCCCTGGGTACAACTTCCTTCTACCTGTCCTGTGCACAGCAGAGATCCCCCAGTCAGATCCTTGGGTGTCACTGAACCTGCCCCTCAAACTCCGCCCCTGACAGAAGTCCCTAAAATCTCAGCCTTCCTGTCTCAGGTCTGAGGATCCGCCTCTCCCTGTGGTCCTGTGGTCCTCTCAGGGTCCTTGGAGTTAATAAAGCCCCCCCCACTGCTTTTTTTTTTTTTTTTCACTTCTCCTTTTCTGCTACACGGGAAAAGCCTAACACTTTTCACAAACGGCAAAACGGCCCATTCTCTTTCCACTTGTGGGTGGGCCACTGCTTTCTCTACAAACCAAGCCCAAGCTTTCTAAAGAGCCACAAGTTCCAGATTTTTTTTTTCACCACCAAAAATGCTTATCCTCAACTCCAGACGACAATGCATCTCTTTCCTTTTTGAAAGCCCACGCGCTTCCTTGGAGTACCTTTTAAATTCTCCCCAATAATTCCCTCTATCCCTCCACAAGGAAAAGGAAGAGGAAGGGAAGGGAGGGGAGAGGAGCGGAGGGGAGGCTCTGAGCTGAGGGGGCGAAGGAAAGGAAGGTGGAGAAGGAGAAGGAGGGAAGACAGTAAAGAGAGGAGAGCGAGTCCCCTGGGCCTGAGGGCCGGGCTTCCCTCCCTCCACCCAGACCCCTGCTGTCACATCCTTGCCCCTGTCCTGGGCGCGGTCCTTCGGCTTCCCGCCTCGGGAGCTCAGGATGCAGAGACCGAACAGACGCTGGGGCAGAAGCGGAGCGGCCACAGGGCCTCCCTACCTTCACCACGTCCTCGTCCGCCGACCTGCACTCCACCGACTCCGACACGTGCACCACTGAGCCGTCCTCTTGGACCCCGACGACCTTGACGGGGACGGACACGGGCTTCCCAGTGAGGATGGCGGTGTTCAGAACCTCCGTGTCCTGCGCAGGAGACAGGGGTGCAGGTGAGCACGCGCGGGCCAGGCGGGGATGGGGAGGGCAGCGGATGAGGCCGTGAGCAGGCCGTCCTGGGCGCCCCGCCACCCAGCGCTGCCGGGGTCACGAGCCCCGGGAAGGGCGCGCTGCGCCTCCCACTCGCGGCCTTCTCCGGCCGTGCTCTGCGCTCCGTGCTCGGCGCAGGCTGCTGCTCGGGGCCTCGCAGCCCAGGAATCCCGGGCCTCCTCTGGGTGCCAGGTGAGGACAGCCAGCAGCCCTGAGCCTCTGCTCCCGAGGCCAGGCCCCGCGGTCTGCTTCTGCGACCTTCCTGCTGCCGCTGCTGCGGCGCCCTGTCCGCGCGACACCTGGGGGATTACGGCGGCCCCAGCTGCCTCCTGGGCCCGTGGCCCGGCCATCGGGCTCACACGACTTCTCACCAAGAGTAAAACTCGTCAAAAGGATCCTGCCATTCTTTTTATTTTGTCGATTTTTTTTATTAGTACACTTTGCAGCTCACAATGATCACATT